ATGCCAACAAGCCTTAACCATTCACTTTTGGAAATTAAAAATATCACTTTCAAAAATGTGAATCTGAATGAAGAAGTTACAATGTGCGAACTAGTGGAGGCAATTAGAAAGCAAAAAAAAAATAAAGAAATCACCAGGTCCAGACGCAATAACAGCTGAAGTTTATAAAACCATAGAAGAGGAAATATTATTTATGTTTAAAGATTTGATCAATAATATCATGATAACAGGAAAAGCATCAAATTTGTGGAACGAAGCCCTAATAACCTTAATACGGAAACCAGATTCAGATGGAGATGAAATTAGAAACTATAGACCCATTTCACTTTTGAACGTAGATTATAAGATTTTTGCAACAATCTTAGCCAACAGGTTTAAAAGGATTATGGCAGAAATTATTCATAGTGATCAATCAGGCTTTCTCCCAAAAAGACAAATAAAAAACAATATAAGAACTATAGTCAATATCTTAGAATATTATGAACCCAGGGAAACCTCAAAGTATATTTTACACTGTATGTGTGCAATACATTGAAAAGGTATAAAGAGGCTCATTGTATTGGTTCCTTGAACTCTGAGGTCTGTTGTATCACCACATTAAATAAAACATTGTAAATTATAAAATGTCCTTGTAAATTCTAACTTTGTTCTGCCTGTGATGTTGCATGGTAACACAGAGGTTTATAAAAATTATAGTACTTTTTTCCCAGTAAGTTGGTACTACTTCAGAACAAAATTAAGAGTATCATGGAAGAGTAAAGCAATATATGCGGAGTCTTTGGGGGTCAGTATGACTCCAAATGCATTGTAAGATTGTGTATTTATCATGATATTCCATTTTTATATGTATAGAAAAAATACTGGAAGTATATTAGAAACAGTTTTACCCCAGGTAGAAAACTTTTGTTACCAGTGTACACATTTTATTTAGCTTTATATTATGCATCTGTTAGCCCTTTAGTAGTGTAAAAGTTCAGTGACGTTTGTTTGGTTTTTTCTAACTTACAAAAAACAAAAGAGCCTATTTGCCTACAGAGTCATTGCAACCAGGTTCCTTAGCCACTATAATAGCTATATACTGTTAGCAAGTTGAATTAAATTTCAATTATTGCAAACTGAATTGGTCTTCCAATGTGTTATCACACATGTTGTTAAAGCCGACATATAGCTGAATGACAGGTTCTAAATTCTCTGCTCTTTGAATTCAGCTGGGGTCACCATGGAAGGTTTAGAGTGTGAAGTACTATTGACCCCAGTATAACATATTGGATTTTTGTTTCTGTACAAGAAACATTTTTTAAAAAATGTTAATCTAGTAATTTTCAAATCAATAAAAAGTTTTTTTTCAGCTGTGATTTAATCAGAATATACCATATCCCTGCTGCTGGCTAATGTAGCCTGGCTTTTTTCCACCAAGCTGGGCTAAAAGATTTAATATTTCCAGTTCTTAAAGGCCACATCATAATAGATTTCCTCAATTTGAGTGGAACTTTGCCCTGTTATTTGGAAATCTCCCTACTACATCCAATACATTTGCCTGCAGCCATGATTTATCATCATTGTATCTTTGCTTTTTAAAATCTCAATTATGAATCCTTTCTAAAGTGCTGTGGAGATCTTGCATGCACTCTGTCCTGTCTTTCTCTTGCTGTTCTGTCTTTCTCTTTCTCCCTAACCTGCATATCAATGGTTTCATTCTCTCTCTCTCCATCATTTATTTTCTCTAGATACATTATATATTTACTTTCACTATTACTTTATGTTGTTTCTTCCCTCATTGTTCTGTATGCTGTTTTAATACATTCTAATATTTGCAGCATAACAGTGAACAATCTAACACTAGAGTTTAAATTTAAATTGAAAACCAGGGCATTTGACTTTCCAGTGCTTGGTATTAAATCTGTGCCCCTGAGTATTTGCTGCCTATAGATCTTCTCTTTATTGTGGAGGTACGAGGTGACAGTTTTCAAGAATTACTCACTGAGCATCTACCCAGGGAAATATATTTTGTAAAAGAAGATGTGATAAAAATAAACCTACTTGGCTATGTGTTTACCTGAGATAACAGAAGAGGCAATAGATCCTTCATTGAAGCACATAACAGGAGATTGCTCTACTGTGTACTTAGGGAATCACAGTAATACATACACACACACACTTTGCAGACCACTATTTGGAACAGCTTATGTACCATTGGCGCAGTTATACTACTTAGCTGAGATCATGAGTCCAAATATCCAGCATATGGACTTGCCAAACGATTTGGCCCTTTTGTATAGCAACCGAAGACTCTAGGCCTGAATCTGTTTTGTGTCATCAGTAAAGCATAAAATTTACATTTGTGTGGTCTCAAGTCTGAACCCCAGCACATTGAGTTATGAGGTTTTGTTTTGTGCAGTTGGACTCCTGCTACACCCAATCTTGGGTCCTCATAATAGTAATGCAACAGTATTGTGCTGCAGCAGGATGGAGAAGGTGAGAAAGTCATGCTCTATGAATTGAAATGCTCCAATGGATCCAAGCCATTTCTAATATTGTTCCTAGCATTTCTTTTGTTGTTGTTGTTTAAAAAATCAAGTTTAAGCTGGTCAGTGTGGTGTTGCACATAGCTGAATGGACGAGAAAAAGTTGTCCTTATTAACAAACATCAATCTTGGCTTAATGGGCTCTTTTTAAGTCAGCAGTAAATGGTCTGTGGCCATGCAGCGGTCAATGGAAATTTCCTCTTTGAAGCTTGAATTCAGCCTTCCTGGAGAACTGATTGAGTATCCTAAATATTAGTTCAAGGTCAAGAAGCTTTCTGCTTACTTTGTAATGGAAAGTCTCAGAATTATGACACCATTCTGGCTTTACTCCACTAGACAAACTGTAAAACAGGAATAGTGGAATGAAATTTTCACAGGAACGAAAACCATACTTTTAGGTGGGGCATAAGAGTCAATTCACAATGTAGTTATGAAACAATGTTACTATGTATAAACAGTCAATTCAGGGGACTCAATGAATGATTGCCCTGACCTGGATGGCCCAGGCTAACTCGATCTCATCAGCTCTCAGAAGTTAAGCAGGTCCAGCCCTAGTTAGTACTTGGATGAAGACCACCAAGAAAGTCCAGGGACCACTGTAGGGTTGCCAAATATAAATTACGTACCGGTGGGGGAGCGTCCTCTCGCACTGGGAGCTGGCTGGGGATGCGCGCGAAGCGCGCGCACGCCACCGGAACATCACCGGAAGTGACGCACAACGTAGCACGTTGGGGGCGTGGCCAAGATCATCGGGGGGGAACAATATGGTTTCCCCCCCAACGATCTGGGCCACGCCCCCAATGTGCCCTACATCGTGTGTCACCTCTGGTGACGCAGCTTTGGGAGGCGGGGTTCCCCCCGGGGCCGATTCTGTTGCATCGGAAATCGGCCCTCCAAAGCGGGGGATTCCCCGCCCCCCGGGCCCATTTGGCAACCCTAGACCACTGTGCAGAGGCAGGCAATGACAAATGTCTCTTGACTTGAAAATCCTACAGGGTCACCATGAGTCAGCTGTGACTTGATGACACTTTCCTCCACCATCACTGGATGATTAGATGCGTCCTGTGAACAGGACCTCAGGTTTTTTAGTCCCTAATGTTTCCAGCTTAAACAATTCCACATAAGAAAGTAAGGAAAGACTTTTGCCTGCCTGGGGCTTTGAAGAGTCATTGGTAGTCAGAGCTAGGACTGCTAGACTTGGAAGTCCAATGATTTGTGTGGCTACAAGATAATTTCATGTTGCCCACATAACAGTTACTAAGCATTTGGAAAAATGCTCAGTTATTGATACAGAATTTTGGGAAGTATTGCTAGGGTTCTTCCACAGTTATATGTCCAACCCCCTCCACTCACTTTTCCCTAAACAATTTGGCAGGATTTGCAAATGAAAATACCAGAACACTTCTCCTTCCCTGTAGAACCTTCTCAGCACCACCTCAGCACTTGATGGGGCTTCCTTCCATGAGACTTCCTCTGTCTCTAGTTCTGACAGTTGCAACTTTACCCAGCAGGTTTGGCTGATCATTTTCATTGGCTGAGTTCAGACTGGCAATTTGAAGCGCTAGGGAGTCGTGGCAAAGAAAAAATGGAATAGACCTGGAACGGCTTGTTCCCGGTATTCCCATTCACACTGCAGTGAATAAAGTGGGAGGATACTGTGGAGGAAGCGCAAGGGAGTGTTCGCACTGTCGGCTGCCTCTGGCGGGCTGTTAGCGTGGTTTCTGTACTCGGCTGTGTGCACCTATGTGCATGGGCACATCAGCAAATAGGGCAAGATTGACTCCACACTTCCAATCTGAACGCAGCCATTGTGTGCGCAAGGGCAACATAACTGGAGCAAGCCATTTCATTTGGACAAGGTTCAGAGCAGCCTTCACATAGTTAAACAATAAGCATCACCATATCCCTTTCTGAATCCTGCCGATGAGTGAAAACTTTGATAGACTTTTTTTTGTTCACTGATGTTTAATGCAAGGTGTTGAATATAGCCAATGTTATCCATTAACTTGATGATCAAAGTGACAGGAAAACATAAAGTACAAACTACTGCAAGAGCAATCCCATCAGTTTAGAATAACAATTTATGAACAGTGTGGTAAGAAACCCACAGTATGTCAAGTGCTCTGAACTTTTACTATGTCCCAAAGGTTTTCAAGGTTTCTATATTTTTCCTTAGAGTAAATACACAAAGTGGGTATATACACACCATCTATTCTGAGAGCTGTCTCATGCTTTATGTGACTGTTGTGCTTTTGTGTCCCTGATTATGTAGGCATGAGGGTCTGACCTTCACACTTGATATGTTTACTGTGGGAAATTCTAGTGCAGCTGTGGCAAATATTACTCATTTCATTACTAGATAAATTTCAGAAACCTCGGGATATTTTTCCTATTGCCTAAACTTAATATCTTTTCCTCTGCAGATTTTTAAATATATATTGCTTAAAAGATTAATGTATTATCCTCTGCTTGCAGTCAAAAAAGATCCAAGCCCAACTGAAGGAACTTCGCTATGGGAAAAAGGATTTGATTTTTAAGGTGAGTTTTGTCACTTGAGTCAACAAAAGAATATATTTGCTTACAGACAGTATAACATTAACATAATCTGACTTTTATTTCTTTAACACTGTAGGTTGAAACAAACACTGACAACACACATATTCAAAATGAATTGAAAAACTTAAGTTATCTGTAATACATGTCCAAAATCTCCTTGATTTAAGTTTTTTTCAGTGAAATGTTCTTGCAAGACAATGGCTCCCCAGCCTAAGGCAGTTAATTCTAACTCTTCAAAAATTCTGTGACCTCAAAACACCAAGTACGTGTGATAACAGCTACTTTTTGGACCTTTATATTCAACATTCTTATGCATGCAGTGAACATCCCATGACCTCCAGTGGTCTCACCATTTTACCCAGTATATTCATCCATTATTTTCTACTCATCTTTCAGCCCTAATTTTCTTCAGGTTTGGGAGCAGCATGCCAGTACATTCTAACCATTTAATTCTGGCAACCAACATTTTCCAAAAAGTATATTAAGATGCAGACCCTAGTCTTATGCATGTTTACTTATAAATATTGGACTTGTTAACTCTTTTCTTGCTTACTTGTGTATGTACTCCAGTATATGCTTGAGGGTTTCTGTCCCTCTCTAAATCTGCATATCCTGGCCTTGGTGTCTCCACATATAGGCCACGTTCAGACTGGCAGTTTGGCCCGGCAGCCAAACATTTCAGGAGTGTTTCATTAGCGGATGAAAGGGGCGGGTTCACACAGGGACATCTTTCAGGCATCCCCCAGCCATACTCAAGCCATCTTGTGCCGCTTCCCTCCCGAGTTTAAAAGATACCTGGTGGAAGTGGTAGCAAATTGTGTGAAGCACGGGTTGATTCCAGTTCCCTGAGTGTGAACGCAAGCACTGCTAAGGCGGGAACAATCTGCAGTTGATAATAGGTGCCAGCTGGTTCCACGGCAGGCGCATATGCGCATGTGCACATGACCAGGACGCTCCAGTGCGCTGAGTAAAAGCTCCACCCAGGCAGTCGCCTGGGAGACAAACTGGCAACATGGTGGCCATGCGAGGACCCTCCTGGAGAAGGTCAGACATTGGCACTAGTGGAAGTGTGGAGTCGATCCTGCCCTATTTGCTGCTGCGGCCATGCACATAGGCACATGCAGCCGAGTACAGAAAACACGCTAACAGCCCGCCGGGGTGGGTGACAGTGTGAACACTCCCTTGCGCTTCCTCCACGGTATCCTCCCACTTCATTCGCTGCGGTGTGAATGGGAATACCCAGAAGAAGCCATTCAGGGTCTGTTCCGGGTCTTCTTTGCCATGCTTCAAACTGCCAGTCTGACTGTGGCCATGTCTATCACCTGTTTCTTCCCATACCAAATTACCCAGTTTATGTTAGAAAGACAGGCCTTTAAAAATTATGAGATTATTTATATCTAATTTCCTCCTATCCACTGAGGCATCTTACAATAAAATCAACCATCAAACAAATAATACCATCATCACACAGTTTAAAACAATAACAACAACAAAACACGAATGGACTTCCAATATAAATTACCACTCTGTAGTTAATAAAAGACTCCCTTAAAATGTATGGCCTTACAAACCATCCAAAATTTCAATATGGCATCCGAGCTCATGACGTCTGATGGAAGGCTATTCCGGCTCGCAAGGGGCAGCCCCCGGCATGCGTCTTCCGGGCCGCGTTTGCCTCCTCGTGAGGAGAAACAGGAGAGACTGCGGTGCCGGGTAATTCACAAAAGGGGGCAGAGCTGCCCTGTTAAAAGGCTGGCTCTGTTTTCCACCCCCTGATAGTTAGTCATTCGTCACCTCGCTTCCTGCTTCCCCTAGAACTGCAGAGTCCCCCCTGGCTACTGCCAGGGGATGGTGGCTACTGCCAGATCCAGGTTAAAAAGTTCCTGGAGATTTTAAGGTGGAGCCAGGGGAACTGATCCCGGTAGTCTGGAGCTGAATTGTAATTCCAGGGGATCCCCAAATTCCAGCTGGAGGCTGACATCCCTAGCTTCCACCTTCCTCACCCTCTACCACTGCCGCTTGACTTGCTCACTTGCATAGCCTCTGCGACTGCTTGCCTGGCTTACCCACTCACTTGTGTGGCAGAGCTCCTCCTTTCCCCTCTCCACTGCAGCCTGATCCTTGTGTCCCACTGCTTTCCTTACCCATGTCATTTCCTTCTATCTTCCATTGCTTGCTCCCAGCAGTAAGCCTCCCCTCCTCCCCACAATCTCCTCCTTTCGTTGTATAGGTCATTCCTATACAACAAGCCAACCTGCCAGGTATTGTGCATCCTTTTCTTTTTAGGGCTTTTTTTTTTTTTTGGTAAACACCTTTTTAACATTTGAGATTTTCCTACAAATCTAGCGGGTTGCTATGCTAAGCCTTGCAGGGGGAGCAAGAACCTCATTGCGTTGGCACTTTTGCACCAACATGGCAGAGGGACAGGGTTAGGGACAGCAGCAAGTGCTATGGTGGTGGGTTATATGGACTCCTTACCATCCATTTTCATCCCACTCACTGCTGCTTCCACAGCAGGGGTGGCTTTTTAATACTCCCACATCAAGGCTGCATTTATATGAAACCTTAAGCTGCTGTGTTTTGTGTCACTTCTCCAGTTTGGTATAATGGTTAAGAGTGGTGGATTCTCATCTGGAGAACCGGGTTTCATTCCCCACTCCTCCATAAGCAGACAGCTTGGTGACCTTGGGTCAGTCACAGATCTTTCAGAGCTGTTTTCTCAAGAGCAGTCCTTGAAAGAGCTCTCTCAGCCCCACCTACCTCACAGGTTGTCTGTTGTGGTGAGAGGAAGGAAAGAAGATTGTAAGCCACTCTGAGACTCTGAGTTAAGGGTGGAGTATAAACCCAGCTCCTCCTGCTCCTCTTCCTCCTCCTCCTCTTCTTCTTCTTCCCCCCTCCCCCCTCATTCTCCCATGAAAAATCCCAGTTAGAACCTAATTCCAGTTATGTGTGGCATACAAATGCAGAAACATGGGTTAACGAGAGTTATTTTGTCCTTCATTTTAAACCAACTTTCTGTTCCTGGTTGGTGGAAGGAAAACAAACTCCAGTAAACCGAAATGCCTGAATTTCTACATCCTTTGTTACCTGAGTTAAATTTGTTACTGGAACTCTTTTTCCCTGGGCATATTTCTCATTGCATGACATAGGGCATGGTGCCAGGTGGACCTGGCTTGAGTTTTCCCCACTCACACTTATGGGCAAGACAGGAGCAGGGCAGCTGGATTCCTTCCCTAAATTGTATGGGCACCTATGGGTTGCACCATTGATTTTGATAGTGCATCTTAGAGCTATGATGATAGATCACAGTGTTGGCTCCCTGGGCACATTCAGCCCCCTTTCTTACAATTGTGCTGTTAAAGTGGCATCTGAACATAGCTTTTTTGCTTTGCCAAAACTCTTTTCCCTCACCTTTATTATTTCACTAGTACAACATTGCCTTGCACATCAGTGTTTCTGGGTTAATTTTGACTCTGCTTCATATGCTACTTCGGCTCCAGTACAATCAAGCATGTCTTTTAATATTGCTGACTTCTTGCTAGAGATCCTTATGCATTTCAAATATTCTGTTCCCAAATATTCTTTGCCCCCTTTTTCTGAGTTAGGGGCAAAATGGTAATATTATGTCAACTGACCTTTCCATAGACTAGACATAGTTTATAACAGAACAATGTGCATATTTAAATGGATTTTGAATCAATTAATTTTATTGAAGCCAAAAATAAAGGGGGGAGAATACAAGATGTAAACAGAAAAAGGGAGACCACTAAAAAGAACATTCAGTAATTGTAATAATTATCTTTTCAAATACAAATTATGCTTTGTTTCAGGATCCTTTGTTGCAATAAGTATGAACTGTAATTTGTATAAAACGAGAACAATCCACTGCTGTAATTAAATACTTTCAGGTATATGTGCTTAATGTTTCATTGAAAATTCTAAACACAGATAATAGTTGTTTCCCCCTGTAATACTAGCATGTTAAATTATGGTGATCTGAAAAATGAATTACCAGTTAATGTTTTGGAAATTGCAGATAAAACAAAGAACTTTTAAACAATCTTGCAGCTGAAAATGTTTCTATTAGAGTACATTGTAGTTCTTTTGCACCTCAATCCAGCTAGAGGCCATAATGTGCATATTACAGTGTTCCACATTTCTTCTATAACTGCATGGAGAATTATTTCTTTCATTTGATTTATTACAAATTTTGTTCCACTTTTCTCTTCAAGGGGAGAAAGGTGGAATAAAGGTGGATTAAAATGGGTTTTAATCCAAAAATGGATTAAAAATACCAAAATGCATTTTGAATTACACTGATAGATTAACAGTGCAATCCAGGGTGATGCAGTGGTTAGAGTGTTAGGCCGAGTTCAGACTGACAGTTTGGCCCGGCAGCCAGACATTTCAGGAGCGTTTCAGTAGCGGATCCAAGGGGCGGGCTCACACAGGCACATCTGTCAGGTGTCCCTCAGCTGTACTCAAGCCATCTTGTGCCGCTTCCCTCCCGAGTTTAAAAAGTACCAGGTGAAAGTGGTACCAAACCGTGTGTAGAGTGGGTTGATTCTGGTTCCCTGACGTGTGAACGCAAGCGCAGCTAAGGCGGGAACAACCCACAGTCGTTGATAATAGACACTGGCTGTTTCCGCGGCAAGCACCCATGCGCATAGGTGCATGCAGCGGAGCACAGAAACAGCTGCTAAAAGCCCACCAGGGGTGGGCCAACAGTGTGAAGGCTCCCTTGCACTTCCTCCACAGAATCCTCCCGCTTCATTCACTGCAGTGTGAATGGGAATACCGTGAACAAACCATTCCCGGTCTGTTCCAGGTCTTCTTTGCCACAACTCCCTAGCGCTTCAAATTGCCAGTCTGAACTCGGCCTTAGACTAGGATCGGGCAGGCCTAGGTGCAAATCCCCACTGAGCCTAACCTATCCTACAGCATTGTCATGAGCATAAAATGTAGGAGATGGGAAGGTTGTA